CCAGCCTGTACCTTCTCCAATCTGAGACCCCTCAAGGGATGTCTGACTGCCTGTTTAGGCCGGATCCCAGTGGACATCTCTCTCACAATCCAGGATTGCTGGCTCCCAACTGCTCACCTGCCTTCCTTCCTGATTGCCCCTAACTACTTCTGCCTGCCAGCCTGATCACCCCCTAACCACTCCCCTGCCAGCCTCATTGATGTCTGACTGCTCTCCTGCAAGCCTATTTGTTCCTAACTACCCTCTCCTGGTCACCCCTAACTGCTCTCCCCTGCAGGCCTGGGCCCCTCTCAACTGCCCTTCCCTGCAGGCCCAGTCGCACCCAACTTCCCTCCTCTGCCGGCTTGGTTACCCCTAACTGCCCTGCCCTGCAGACTTGATCGCCCCCAACTGCCCTCCCTTGTAGGCCTGGTCCCTTCCAACTGCCCTCCCCTACTGGCCATCTTGTGGCGGCCATCTTGTGTCTACATGGGGCAGCCATCTTGACCACATAGGGGAAGCTATCTTGTGGGTTTGACTGATGGTTAATCTACATATTACTCTCTTATTAGATAGGATGGAGGCCTGGTGCATGGGTGGGGGCCAGCTGGTTTGCCCTGAAGGGTGTCCCGGATCAAGGTGGGGGTTCCCTTGGGACGTGGGGCAACCTGGGCAAGGGGCCTGTGGAGGTTTGCAGGCTGGCCATGCCCCCTGGTGACCCAAGTGGAGGCCCTGTTATCTGGGATTTATTTATCTTCCATAATTGAAACTTTGTAGCCTGGAGCGGAGCCAAGCCTTCTGCTTGTTTCCTGGCAGCAGCCATTTCTGTTGGGATTTATGTACCTTCTATAATTGAAACTTTGTAACCTTAAGCAGAGGCCTGGGCCAGCCAGGGTGTGCAGAAAGCTTCCTCCATTGCTGGGGCAACCCTAGCCTCCTGCTCTTTCCAGCTCTGTGGCTGCCACCATTTCTATTTTGCTTTATGTGCTTCTATCATTGAAACTTTATAGTCTGGAGTGGAGCCTAGGCTGGCAAGGGCAGGTGGAAAGCTTGACTTCCTCCATTGCCGGGGAAACCCAAGCCTTCCTCCTGCTCTCTGTGGCCATAGCCATCTTGGATGGGTTTATTTGCATATTTGCTCCTGATTGGCTGGTGGGCATGGCTTGTGGGTGTATTGAAGTGATGGTTAATTTGCATATCACTCTTTTATTATATAGGATTGGCTGTTCGTATGTCTTCTTGGGAAAGGTGTATTTCAGGTCTTCTGCCCATTTTTTGATTGGGTGGTTTGGTGTTGAGTTTTACGAGTTCTTTATATATTTTGGAAATTAAACCTTGGTCTGAGTTACTGTTTGTAAATATCATCTACCATCTGGGTGGCTGCCTGTTTGTTTTGTTATTCTTTTCTTTTGCTGTGCAGAAGCTCTTCAGTTTGAAATAGGTCCCATTAATTTATTTTTTCACCATTACCTCCCTTGCCTTTGGGGTCAAGTCTATAAATGTTCTCTACCACTCAGGTCCATAAGTTTGGTATCTATATTTTCTTCTATGTAACTTATAGTTCCAAGTCTTATATTTAGGTCTTTAATCCTTATTGAATTAATTTTTTATACTTGGGGACAAACTGTAATCCAGTTTTATTTATTTGCACGTGGCTTTCCAGTTTTCCCAGCACCATTAATTGAAGAGACTATCCACCATCTTTATTTTATGTGGTTATGTGATTGTTGTTCAAATCCTCCAATGGTATATTTCTTTCTGAACCCATCAGAAATTCTAAAAAATAAATACGTAAAGATGTCTTTGGTCCTTGCAACATTTTTGTTCAAATACATTAAAACAGTGCATTTGTGTTGACTCAAATGAATCTGAAAGTATATACTTAAAATAATTTTATATGTGTTATTTTAAAAATAATTAATAGACTTTTTGTACAGTATTAGATTTACAGAATAATTGAGCAAAGAATACATGGAGTTATATTCATCCACACCTCCCCCACTCACCCACACACAGTTTCTTCTTTTATTTTTATTTTATTTTATTTTATTTTTTTAAAAATATATTTTATTGATTTTTCAGAGAAGAAGAGAGAGGGATAGAGAGTTAGAAACGTCGATGAGAGAGAATCATCGACCAGCTGCCTCTCGCACACCCCCATGGGGGATGTGCCCGCAACCAAGGTACATGCCCTTGACTGGAATCGAACCCGGGACCTTTCAGTCCGCAGGCCGACGCTCTATCCACTGAGCCAAACCGGTGCCGGCAGTTTCTTCTTTTATTAATATCTTGTATGAGTGATATATCCTAGCTAATAAAAGAGAAAAATACAAATTGAAGCATACCTTCCCTATGCCAACAAGGCATGCCCACCAGTCAATCAAGAGTGAGTATGCAAATTAATCCAACAAATATGGCATTGGCCATGGAGCTGGAACAAGCAGGAGGCTTGGATTGCCGCCAGTGATGAAGGAAACGAAACTTCCACCACCCTCCACCCCTGCCCTGGCCTCCGCTCAAGGCTACAAAGTTTCAATTATAGAAGATAAATAAGTCCAGATACCAGGGCCTCCACTTGGGTTGCTTGGGGGGACGCGGGGATGGCTGGCCGGCAAACCACCATAGGTTCCTAGCCCAGGCCACCCCATGCCCCAAGGGAATCCCCACCCTGATCCGGAACATCCTTCAGGGCAAACCAGCTGGCTCCCACCCATGCGCCAGGTCTCTATCCTGCTATCTAATAAAAGAGTAATATGCAGATTGAGCATCACTCCAACACACAAGATGGCTTCCTCCATGTGGTCAAAGATGGCTGCCCCTATGTGGATACAAGATGGCCGCCACAGATGGCCAGAAGGGGAGGGCAGTTAGGAGGAACCAGGCCTGCAAGGGCAGGCAGTTGGGGGCAATCAAGCCTGCAAAAAAGGGCAATTAGGGGTGACCAAGCCGGCAATGGAGGGATGTTGGGGACAACCGGGCCTGCATGGAAGGGCTGTTGCGGGGGGGACCCAGGCCTGCAGGGGAGAGCAGTTGCAGGGGACCCAGCCTGCAGGGCAGGGCAGTTGGGGGGGACCAGGCCTGCAGGGGAGGGCAGTTAGGGGCAATCAGGCAGGCGGGCAGTTGTGAGCCAGCAGTACTGGATTGTGAGAGGAATGTCCTAGATTGGAGGGTGCAGGCTGGGTTTGAGCGATACACACACACACACACACACACACACACACACACACACACGTCCATGCACGAATTTCATGCACCAGGCCTCTAAATTATATGTTCCATTAATAGAAAATTAGGCAGTATTGCAAATCATGTTTAGAAGACTAATGGCATCATCCTCTTCTACAACATATGTACACCCTCACACACTAAATATTCCATTTATGGAAAATTAAGCAGCTTGCAAAGCATGTTGTAGAAGATTGTGATGACATCATTGTCTTCTACAACACATACACACTGTCAGGCACACATGCACATATGCATGCACACACAGACCAGAAAAAGAAACACACACTATATGTTAGCTTTTAAACTTTTCCCTCCAGGTTGTAAGATACAGATGATTTGTGTTTGTTTTTTAATCTTCCCCTGAGGTTATGTTTTATTGACTTTGGGGAGAGAGGGAGGAAGAGAAAGAAACCTCCATCGATTGCCTCCTGTGTGCACCCGTACTGGGTACAAATCCACAATCTAGTATGTGCCTGACCAGAAATCAAACCTGCAACCTCTTGGTACACGGGGTGATGCTCCAACCAACTTAGCCATCCGGCTAGGGATTTATTTTTATTTATATATTTTTATTTTCCTTCAATGGCCTATGACTATATTTATCAAATATATAACAATTGTATTTTTCCTTGCTTTTCTTTTTTTAAGTTAACTTCAAGAATTTTTAAAATATCTTTTTATTGATTTCAGAGAGGAAGGGAGAGGAAGAGTGAGATAGAAACATCAATGATGAAAGAAAATCATTGTTGGTTGCCTTTTGCATGCCCTCCTACTGGAAATCATGCGTATGCCCGGACTGGAAATCAAACCATGACCTCCTTCCTGGTTCTTAGGTCATCACTCAATCACTGAGACACGCCCCAGTGGACTAAGTTAAATTTATTGAAGTAACTTTTGTTACCAGTGTTGGGGTTCTTGGGTTCTCCAAGATAGAAATCGAGAGGAAGCCCCAGAGAATTTTCCAGACATATTTTATTAAGCTTATGCTGGAGCACAAGAGAGGCAGCACCGAGGAAAAGAAAGGTTCTCTGAACTGGCTTAGGGGCTGGCTCTGCTTAGCTGTTTTATAAGTTGGGGACAAAGCAGACTTGTGTGAAAAGGTAGACCTTAAAAAAAAGCGGCCTTGGCAATTTGTTGTGTCAGGGTATGAAAAGCAAGAGTTTAGAAGGGGGACATAGACATTTCGGTAGGAAGTGGAGGAATGGTTGCATTCTTGTGGTGGGCCTATGAGTGGGGTTTTTTTCTGGCCGTCAGGAAGCCTTGGAATCCCAGGAGGGGCCATGGGGAAATGTCAGCTCTGTGGGGTTTTTGGTGTAATGTCCTTGGGATCCCAGGCCCAGGTCCCTATTCTCTCTCACATTGGTTAATGACAATATGTAAATTTCATGTGTACAACATTGTAATTCAACATTTGTATACTCTATTGCATGCTCACCACCCAAAGCCAGTTTCCTCATGAGTATTTTTTTAATTAAGAAAAATATCAGGGGAGGGGATTGGTGAAGGAGAGGACATCTGTAATACTTTCTACAGTAAAGATAAAAATACAAAATAGAAAAATGTTAACTCAAGTATAAAGAAAAGACTTGGAGGAAGTACACCAACATTATAAACCGTAACTGTTTTTAAGTGGTGGGAGTAAAGGTAATATTTTGTATATTTTCTTTTAATGGAAAAATAAATATACTCATTAAAATTTTGTTTTTTAGCTTTATTAAAAACATGATTGATAAGCAACAATTAACATAACTTTTATATAGTTAAACTTTTAAAACATTTTATTTTCATTTTAGGCCAGAAATATACATACGGGAGAGTTGGCTGCAGTAAAAATTATCAAATTGGAGCCTGGTACGTATTAAAACACTCATGACAATTTTTTAACACTTTTCTTGTGCAGTTCACAAATATAGAACTTAAAAAACATTTTCCATATTTCTTTGTTTCCCTTCTTCCAAAAGAAATATTTATATATTGTCAGGGCAATAGGATTTCTCAAATATGACTACATTAAATTGCATTGGAGGTTATTAATTAAAGACAAATTTTATTGCTAAATAAAAGTTCAAATGTGCACATTCAAAAATTGGAAGACACATTGACAATGTTAAAGTAGTTTTTAAGTTATAGTGAGATAATTGAGCTTCGGTATTAACTTCTATGAGAATTTGATTAGGAAAGTATTCATTGATTTTTGGTAATATTTGGCATAATGATATTTTATATGTTAGCTGTTGTCTTGCTGATTGATTTAGGTTTAATAATTCTGGTCTTAGACTTTTTTTTAACACTTTCTGTCAGAAATGCTTTTTTTTTTTTTTTTTTTTTTTTTTTTTAACTCTGTCAGAGGCTCTTTTAAAACATATTGAGTGATTTGCTTTGAAAACAAAAGTATTATGTAAGACCTGAAACCATTTTATTATTTTGATATCCTCAAAGGTTTTTTCTCTCTTAGTAATGGCATCTTTAAAAAAAAAAAAAAAAAGTATTCAATTGGTATTGTGTCCAGGTTTACCACAAAAATTAGAAAATTCAGAAATTATAAAGAAAATAAAAATAATCTATTTGTCACCCAGGGATAACTATTATTGCCTTTTAGTGTATTTCCTCTTATTTTCCTCCTCTGTATACATGTAAAGATTTTACAGAGAGCATATACTATATGTACTATATTCTGTTCTTCACCTACATTACATAACTTTTACATAGGTCAGTAAATATTTTTTTCTTTTTAATTGAGTTATAAGTGACATACAACATTATATTAGTTTCAGGTGTACAACATAACGATTCAGTATTTGTCTATATTGTAAAAGGATCACAGTAAATCTAGTTAATATCTATCACCATACATAGTTACATTTTTTTTCCCTGTGATGAGAACTTTTAAGATTTGCTCTTTTGGGTGGCCAGCATAGTTTGGTAGTTGAGCATCGGCCTATGAACCAGGAGATTGGAGACTGGAGTTTGGTTCCCGGTCACAGCACATGCCTGGGTTGCAGGCTTGATCCCCAGTGATGCCCTGCAGGAGGTGGCCAATCAATGATTCTCTCTCACCATTGATGTTTCTGTCTCTCCCTCTTCCTCTCCTCTCTGAAATCAATAGAAGTATATATATATATTTTTTTTTAATTTACTCTTAACAACTTTCAAATATGTGACACAATAATATTAACTACTAGAGGCCTGGTGCTTGAATTCATACATGGGTGGGGTCCTCAGCCTGGCAGCCAATCGGGCCTCATTGGGACCATCTCGCCCAGTCCTGATAAGGGCCTATCAGGGCAGCCAGCCGAGGGAGGGTAGAGAGGGAGAGGAGGTATTGCTGGAGGTTGACTGATCACAGGAGGTTGGCTGTGAGAGTGTACTGACCACCAGGGGACAGTTCCTGCATTGAGGGTCTGACCTCTGGGGGTCACTGTGCGTCAGAGTGACCAGTCAGTCGACTGCCTGTTCAGTCATTCAGTTGCTTAGGCTTTTATATATGAGGATAGTTACCGTGCTGTACATTACATCCCATGACTTATTTTATAGCTGGAAGCTCCTACCTTTTATATTCCTTCACTCATTTTTCCCATCCATTCGCTTCCTATCTGTTCTCTGTATCCATGAGCTTGATTTTTTGGTGTGTTTTTTAAAAGATTCCACCCATAAGTGAGATCTGTTATATTTATAATGCCCTCAAGATCCATCTATATTGTCAAAATTATAAATTTCTAATGAGCTCAATAGTAGCTTTTTTTCTCCATATTTTTTTTCTTTTTTTACTGTGGTAAAATAAACATTACATAAAATTTACCATCTACACCTTTATTTTTTTTTAATCCTCATCCAAGGATATTTTTTCCATTAATCTTTAGATAAAAACATCTATGGGGGAGAGGCACATTGACTGGTTGCCTCTCACATGCCTTGACCAGGGCCAGAGATCAAACCTACAACCGAGGTATGTGTTCTTGACCAGGAGTCAAACCCAAGACCCTTTGGTCTGTGGGCCATTGCTCTTACCATTGAGAAAATTGGCCAGGGCTAAATGTGCTACATCAACACCATCCAACTCCTGAACTCTTTTCATCTGAAACTCTGTAGTCAGTTAATAGTAACTTCCCATTCCCCTCTTCCCCCCAGCCCCTGTCAGCCACCATTCTATTTTCTGTCTCTGATTTGACTACTTTAGGTACTTCATATACAATATTTGTCTTTCTGTTACTGGTTTATTTCTCTTACCATAATGTCCTCAAGCTTCACCCATGTTGTCACATCAGTTTCCTTCTTTTTAGGACTGAATAATGTTCCATTGTGTATATATTTGCCACATTTTATTTATCCACTCACCTGTTGGACACTTGGGTTGCTTTCAACTTTAGCTATTGTGAATAATACTGCTATGAACATAAGCTACAAGTATTTCTTTAATACCCTGCTTTCAGTCTTTTGGGTATATACCAGTAGTGGAATTGCTAGATCATATATTTCTATTTTTAATTTTTTGAGGGACCGCCATACTATTTTCCACAGTGGCTGTGCAATTTTACATTCCTTCCAATAGTGCACAAGGGTTCCAATTTCTCTATATTTTTGCCAACAATTGTTATTTTTCTATTTTGGTTTGTTTGTTATAGTAGCAATCCTAATGGGTGTGAGTAGGTGGTATCTCATTGTAGTTTTTATTTGTATTTCCTAATAATTAGTAATGTTGGTATCTTTTCATGTGCTTATTTGTATATCTGCTTTGAAGAAATATTTATTGTAAGTCCTTTGTTTTTTAATCTGTTTTTTTTGGCAGTGTTGAGTTTTAGATGTTCCGTATATAGTCTAGAATTCAGGGGTCCTCAAACTTTTTAAAGTGGGGGCCAGATCACGGTCCCTCAGAGAGCTGGAGGGCCGGACTATATGAACTACTAATTCCTACTGTAACACCTCGGCTGCGCTCACTGCCCAAAAAACCTGGCGGGCCGGATCAGACTCCTCTGCGGGCCGCATGTGGCCCGTGGGCCGTAGTTTGAAGACCCCTGGATTAATCTCATCAGATTTGTGTTTTACAAATATTTTCTCCCATTATTTGGGTTGCTTTTTGTGTTGAGTTTCTTTTGATGCCCCAAATTTTAAACATTCATAAAGTCCAATTTTTAATTTATTCTTTTGTTGCTATACCTTTGTTTCATACCCAAGAAATTATTGCTAAATTTAATATCATGAGGCTTTTGCCTATTTTTTTTTTTTTTTTGAGAGTTTTATAGTTTTAGGGCGCACACATAGCCCCGCCCTCCTGCGCACACAGCCTCCTGGTGATAGCTTGTGGTGTGAGGGCGTTGTGGCCTGAGGGCATGACGACCACATGGACTTTTATTAATAGGATAGACAATAGGTTAGCTGTTTATGGAATGGATCATGAAAGTGTTAAGAATAATGTAATTTGAATCCACAAATTGATTGATCTTCCCAAGCCTGCTTTTTCCTAGATCAGTCTTCCCCGTTTTGTTTGGCAGTTAGCCAACCCCATTGCCTTATTTCTCTCTCTTTTTTGTACTCCAGGGTCAGTCTGTCAGCAAGTTCCTTCAGCTCCACTTCCAAAACATCTCCTGAATCCAACTACTACTCATTATTGCTATCTCCACTCTCTTGGCTTCCCTGTATCCTCTCCCACACCTTCCATCTGCCACCATCTAGTTTCCATAAAAGTATCATACTTGAGTAATCTTTTTAAACACAAATTTTTGTGCTCTCCTGATTAAAACATTTTTGGCTTTTCCAAATCCACTTAGAATATTCAAACTTTCAACCTTGCTCACAAAACCCTATATGAGCTGCTCTGACTACTATTCTGAGCTCATCATGTATGACTTCTGCTTCCTTACTCTGCCTCTGCTTTCTTTTTATTGAAACAGCCCAGTTGTTTGGAGTGTTGTCCCATACACTGAAAGGTTGCAGGTTTCAAACCTGGTCAGGGCAACCAATGGATGTTTCTATCTTTCTAAAAATACCACTAAAAGCATATCCTCAGGTGAGGATTAAAATAAAATAAAACAGTCCAAGATTAAACTAGCTCTTCTATTCTCAGGAGATTCTTGGTCATTCAGATTTCAATTTAAATGTTGTGTCCTCAGAGAGACCCATTTCTGACTCCTAATTTAAAGTAGACACCCAGGCCCTGTTATTTTATTTCTCTGCATAGGACATGTAACTGTTTGGTATTTATTTATACACTAGAGGCCCGGTGCATGAAATTTGTGTACGGGGGTGGGGGAGGGGTGCCCCTCAGCCAAGCCTTCACCCTCTCCAATCTGGGATCCCTCTCACAATCCAGGACTGCTGGCTCCCAACTGCTCACCTGCCTGCCTGCCTGCCTGATTACTCCTAACTGCTTCTGCCTGCCAGCCTGATCACCCCCTAACCACTCCCTGCCAGCCAGATTGATGCCTAATTACTCCCCTGCCAGCCCAATTGCCCCTAACTGCCCTTCCCTGCCATCCTGGTCACCCCTAACTGTCCTCCCCTGCAGGCCTAGTTGCCCCCAACTGCCCTTTCCTACTGGTTTAGTCATCCCTAATATCCTCCCTTGCCTGCTTGGTCACCCCTAACTGTCCTCGCCTGCAGGCCTCGTTGCCCCCAACATCCCTTCCCTGCTGGCCCAGTTACTCCTAACTTCCCTCCCCTGGTTGCACCTAACTGCCTTGCCATGCTGGCCTGGTCACCCCCAACCGCCCTCCCCTGAAGGCCTGGTCGCCTCCAACTGCCCTCCCCTGCAGGCCTGGTTGCCCCCCATTGCCCTCCCCTGCTGGCCATCTTGTGGCTGCCATTTTGTGTCTACATGGGACAGCCATCTTGTGTGTTGGAGTGACTGTCAATTT